GCTGTGTGCCCGGTGTGTGCCGCAATGGCGGCACCTGCACCAACGGCGCTGACGGGGGCTTTCGCTGCCAGTGCCCGGCAGGTGGCTTCGAGATGCCCTTCTGCGAGGTGTCCACGCGCTCCTTCCCACCACGATCCTTCGTCATGTTCCGGGGCCTGCGCCAGCGCTTCCACCTCACCCTCGCCCTCTCGTGAGTCTTCTCCCTCCTCCGCTGGACACTGGCACCTGGGCCCCACTCTGGTGGCTCTTGTGCACCCTGTGCCAGTCCAGGGGCTCGCTGCTGCTCCCCAGACCCCTGCGTTACTGGCTTTGCCTCGCCACGGGGCTGCCCTGGCACCTTTAGCCAAAGGGCTCTTCACCTGCACTGGCATGTCTCCCCTGGCATCAGCTCATCCCTTCCTTCAGTGCCTCTACCCTTCCCTGCTTCCAGCTCTCTGCTTCCGTGCCAGGCCCTCCCATGCTCCCAAAGCATCCACTGGATCAAGCTCCCAGCCCCTTCCCAGCTGGGCTTGGACCCGGGGCCAGGGCCAGGTCTCTACTTGTCCCTGTGCCGCGGTGCTGGTGCGTGCCACGGGAGAGCGGGGATCTCTGTGTGCTGCTTGCACACACCCTGCCCTCCTGCTTCCTCCCTTGCCCCAGGTTCAGCACCGTAGAGCCCAGTGGCCTCCTGCTCTACAACGGGCGCCTGAACGAGAGGCATGACTTCCTGGCGGTGGAGATCATCCAGGGGCAGATCCAGCTGAAATATTCCACAGGTAGGCTCGGCCCTGTCTGTTGCAGGATTTGTGCCATGGGAGCTGCAAGAAGGCCTGCACTGAGTGGGGAGAGCAGGGTGCTGCCCTGGATGGAGCCCACGCTAAGGGAGATGGGGTTGAGAGGTGTTGGTGAGCGTCAGTGGATGGCACAGAGGACGGGTGTGTGTCTCAGGACCCTCCCTAGGCTTGGGAGCGCAAGTGCAGCAGCGGGGTTGTGAGTCAAACTGGGACAAACCCTTTTGAGGTCTTGCCTGCCATTCTGCCCCATTATATCATCGGGAGCTTCATCTCTTGCCTTGCCCTGAGCCAGTCTGGAGAGGAGGAACCTCTTGGGAGGGTGTTCGCTATCCTGTCAGCCTCCATCCCTGCTCCCTCATGCCATTGCTGTGCCAATCCTGCACCCATCCTGCCTGCCCTGCGAGGCATCAGGATCAGCAGCCAGGAGCACTGGGCCCTTGTGTTGCCATCTGGGGCTTCCATCCCATCCTGTGTCGAGTGTTCCTCACCTCTCCCCTGCACGCAGCGCCTGGTGGCCATCCTGCTGCTGCTCTGGCTGCACCGGTCTCCTCAGGCAAGGTCCAGCAGCAAGTGGCTGGCAAGGGGCCGGCTGTCCGGGGCCAGGGGCCCCCCG